AGGCTGCTAGAGGGAGGGGCAGCCTCTGGCTCTGGTTACCCAGTGAGGAAAGCCACTCCAATGGCTGGCGCCTGAGCTGGGTGACTTTTCCCTGGATGGAGCTGAGTCTGGCAGGTCACGCTGCCGTTAAGTTCTTGTGACCTGCTAAATGACTCGTTTTATTCCAAGGCCTGAGTTGGAGCTAGCAGCTCCTCCGAGCTTTGTTGGTATCCAAGATGGAGATCTCCGGTACTGGGGGGGAGGGGTGGCCTTCCCTCCTCTGCTCCCTGAGAAGGAGTGAGGACGTCGGGCTTCTACTCACGCCGAGTCTTGGTTCCTGGTCGTCTCTGGTCTGCAAACTGCAGGATGAATATGTCTGCTCCTTGTCCGTTCTTGCTGGTGTTGAGTAGAATCTGCTCGCCTGCTGCCTCTGGCTCCTTCATCCTGGACTCTCTGCGGCTCAGTTATGGTGCCCTGCGGTCGCCTCTGTGACCGCTGCCGCCGCCGCGCCGGCTGTTGGCAAGTTCTCAGATGTGTCTCTTTGCCTTGGCTTCCCCTCTCTTGCCTAACTCTCTGTCCTGTGATGGCACACTTGGTGTGATTCTCTGGCTTAGGACTGTTCACTGGAACTCTAAAACTGCTTTCTATGTGAGAGCTTGTTCAGATTCCAGCTTCTCCTCCGCCATCTTCCCTGAACTCCCCACTGATTTTTTAAAAATAAGTTTTATTGTGAAAATACTGTACAGAGGGGTTACCATTACATGAGCAAGATAATGAGTACATTTCTTATCTAGCATTGTTGTCTCCTCCTTTGTTTTTCCCCTATCATCCCTTTCCTCCCACCTCCTCAATTACATTCCTGCCTAAATTGTAAAGTTCATTTTTTGACATAGCATCTTGTACATCTCATTGTTGCAATGGGTCAATCTGTACCCCTATTTAAACAATTTGTTTTTTCCCTTCCTCTCCCCAAATTATACCAACATCAAATACAGTGAAAACAGGGGTTATACCATGGGGGAGGGACATACAAAGCAACAAAGAAAAATCACATGGTCCCTTATAAATATGTTAAAAACAATAGCAAGAAAGAAAAAAAAAACACCTGTGTCCCTACCTTGGGGTTCATTTTGCTTAATCATCTTATCTGAGCTTTTCTGTCCCAGACATATACTAGTTATTGCAAATAAGGGAAACCATGGGACCTATGTTTCTTTGGGCCTGGCTTACTTCGCTTAATATAATTTTTTCCAAGTCTTTCCATTTGCTAACAAATGGAGGCATAGAATTCCATTATATGTATATATGTGTATATATATATATATATATATATATATATATATATATATGCCACATTTTCTTGATCCATTCATCTACTGAGGGGAATCTGGGTTGCTTCCATATCTTAGCTATGGTAAATAATGCTGCAATAAACATAGTCATGCTGGTAGCTTTAGCATGGTCTTGTTTGTAAACATTTGGGTAAATGCCCAAAAGTGGAATTGTTGGGTCATAGGGGAGCTCCATGTGGAGTCTTTTGAGGAACCTCTATACTGCTTTCCAAAGTGGTTGAACAAGTTTACACTCCCACCAACAATGTAGTAGGGTTCCTTTCTGGCCACATCCCCTTCAACATCTGTTGTTATTAGAGTTATTTATAATAGCCTTTCTAACTGGGGTGAGGTGGAATCTCAATGTCCTTTTGATTTGCGTTTCTTTTATGGCTAGAGAGGTTGAGCGTTTCTTCATGTGTCTATTGGCCATTCTTATTTCCTCTTCAGAGAAGTTAAAGCTACTTATTTTTGTGGATTGATTTTATACCCTGCTACTTTAGCATTGCAAAATTTAACTGTCTTTCTAAATATTTACTTCATCTGTTTATTTAGTGACAGAGTCTTTCTATGTAGGACAGGCTGACTTGGAGATCTTTCTATATTAGTCTTCTGATTGCCAGGATTACAGCATGTGCCATCTTATACGATGATAACATAGTCTTATTAATGACAAAAAGCATTTTTAATTTTAATACATAGAAGAGCCAATTTTTTGGAGGACTACATATACTAATTGCAATAGTCTGGTTAATTGTTAATATCATAATAACAAGGCTTAATAAGTCATTCATCCACCATTTATTTAAGAGGGCTATTCTGTGCTCACTAATGGGTAACTTTTTGCTATAACCTTAGTAAGAGAATATGAAATTTAAAAATTCCCTTGTTGGCATTCATGCATCCATTCACAAATACTTTATTTTCTGTGTGAAGTGGTATGATGCATGCATGGACTATAGAGCTAAGAGTCCATCTTGACTACAAGTGGCTTTCAAATTATCCCAATGCCTACAGAAGAAATAATTATGTAGAGGATAAAGAGGCTTAGTCAAAAGATAAATCAGATTGTTTTGAGCTGTTTTACATATTTGTAAATTTGGGAACCAGTGCCTAAAACATGTCAGACAATCATTAAGGGTGTATTCAATTGATTACTTTTTCCGAATTCATTTCTACAATTTAAAAATGACAATAACGGTATTTATTTTCTTGTATTGGTGCAATGAGAGAATCAAATAGGAGAATGTATATGAAAGTGCTTTTTGCAACCATTGAGAAGAAAGTTATCCTTCAAGAGCCAACTGACTTGCATTTATATAGAGATAGATAGATGTACATAAAGTTATATAAATCTTACGTAATAAGTACCTGTTCAGCTGTTTTTAGGGTCAAAACTGCAAACTTACCCTCAATCCAGGAAAAATTCATAGTCTAATTAGTTAACTTGTATATTAATGGATTTTAGTGGTGTTCTAATGGGGGTTTGAATAACAAGTAAGAAAACAGATGAATGACCTTTTTTATGATTGTATCAAGAAAAATTCATGATACCTTGAATTATATTAGCTTGATATAATCTAGCATGTGATGATATGATATAGAATATAAGGCCAAGGCAACACAAGACAGGATAACATGGAGAACTGCTGCCATATAGAATGGTAGTAGTGTGGATTAAAAGCTACACATGCTTCTAAAACAGAAAAAAAACCCTTTATTATCTAGATTACATTTTGATGAGCCATTGATTGATGTGAATTAACATAAACTTAGATCTGACAACCTTCATGAGTAAACCCAGGGCTAGGAATCAGGGAGCTAGAATGGATTGTCATTCCTGTTCTGTTACATGCTTACTGTGAAACTATAGCCATAAGAAGTCAACTTGCCACCTCACTCCAGTTAGAATGGCTATAATCAAGAACTCTAATAACAACAGATGTTGGAGGAGATGTGGACAGAAGAGAACCCTACTGTATTGTTGGTGGGAGTGTAAACTTGTTCAACCACTTTGGAGAGTAGTATGGAGGTTACTCAAAAGACTCCACATAGAGCTCCCCTATGACCTGGCAATCCCACTTTTGGGCATTTGCCCAATGGTCACAAACAAGACCATGCTAAAGCTACCAGAATGACTATGTTTATTGCAGCATTATTTACCATAGCTAAGATATGGAAGTAACCCAGATTCCCCTCAGTAGATGAATGGATCAAGAAAATGTGGTATATATACACAATGGAATTCTATGCCTCCATCAGAAAGAATGACATTGCCCCATTTGTTATATGTTAAGTGAAGTAAGCCAGGACCAAACAAACATAGGTCCCATGGTTTCCCTTATTTGCAATAACTAGTATATGTCTGAGACAAGCAGAAATGGTCAGATAAGTTGATGTTAGGTGAAATGAACCCCAAGATAAGTATTCAAATGTTTTTTCTTTCATGCGATTGTTTTTAACAGATTTAAAAGATGATTTTTTTTTGTTGCTTTGTATGTCCCTCCACCACGATATAACCCCTGCTTTCACTGTATTAGATGTTGGTATAATTTGTGGAGGAGAAGGGTAAAAACAAATCGTTGAAATAGGGTTACAGGTGGACCAATTGCAATGTACAAGTCATTATGTTGAAAAACGAACTTTACAACTTTGGCCGGGGGAGGGGGGTGGGAATATGGGGGGGACCTGGGGGGGAAGATGCCAAGGGATAGGAAGGGGAACCAAAGGAAGAGGCAACAATGCTTGAAAAGAAATGTACTCATTATCTTGCCCATGTAATTGTAACCCCTCCGTACAGTATTTTCACAATTAAAAAAAAAGAATAAACCTAAAAAAAAAAAGAGGTCAACTTGCTTCATTGGTCTCAGTTTCCTTATAAGGAATTGACCTATCTGGTGCTTGTGGCTCACACCTGTAAATCTAGGTATTCAGGAGGCTTGGATTTGAGGACTATGGTTCAAAGCCAGTCTGGACAGGAAAATACATAAATTGTTATTCCAATTATTACCAAAAGGCTAAAATGGAGCTGTGGTTCAAAGTGGTAAAGCACTAGACTGTAACACAAAAGCTCAGGAACAGTGCCCACGTCCTGAGTCAATTAATCTGTTGGGTAGGATGCAGAAGAATATTGAAAGGGGGACAGAAATCAAGAAGCATTGTACTTATAAACTGATTTGTTGAATGCTAACTCCTTTGTATAATTACTTAAAGATTGCACAAATATAAAAAATTTAAAAACCAATTAGAATTCCTTAACAAAGAAAACGGTAAAATGACAAAAAGTTTTTTAATCCTTTATTACTCAAAAAAGATATTTGAATTATAGTTCTCAGTTATGTGGATTTTAGGCTAGTAATGTGAGATACTGTGATGGTGAGAACAGAATATTTCTAGGTGATAAATACATTGTTTCCATTTTCAAACATGAGCTCACATTTGAAATTTGATTTAGTGGACACATGAATAATCTTATTGTTGTGAATACTTTTATTCCATTAGTAAATATTTTTCCATTATAGACACAAATGCTTCCATTCATGTCTCTGCATTTTAAGTTATTATTAAAATGGAAATGTGAAATGACTGAGGAGCTATTTTCCTGAAATCATGAGGCTTGACAGGAAGGATGACACATAGAAGTGATTGATCATGAAGATACTATAATACTTTGTTTTTTTTCTTTTCTAGGTTTTCACCTCTATAATAAGATGTCCACAGTTGTACCTGAAAGCTGCCTCTTGATCTTTGTAGGTCTCATTATAGGAGGATTAATTTACAGTTTAAATAATAAATCTCCACCAGTAATGGACAGTGACATATTTTTCCTGTACTTACTTCCACCAATAGTCCTTGAAGCAGGATATTTTATGCCCAGTCGACCTTTTTTTGAGAACATAGGAACCATTCTGTTGTATGCTGTAGCTGGAACCATGTGGAATGCATTTGGAATAGGTCTTTCTCTATATGGCTTATGTCAGGTGAAGTATTTCAACCTTCAAGATGTGTCATTACTCCATAATCTTTGGTTTGGTAGTTTGATTGCTGCAGTAGATCCTGTGGCTGTACTCTCCGTTTTTGAAGAAATACATGTGAATGAGAAGCTTCATATTTTGGTATTTGGAGAATCCCTTCTTAATGATGCTGTTACTGTTGTAAGTATTAAGGCCTGGGCTTTCTAGGTAATGAATTTCTTTAAGCTCATGCAAGATATAGAGAAAGGAACACAATTCTGTTTGGAACATAATTAAGTTTGTCTAAGTGCTATTGTACAAAAGGGAAAGCACTAGGAGACTTTCTCAGCTTTTTGATTTCTGTGCAAGTCACAGGAACTTAAGATTTGCTACAAAAAGTTCCTAGAAACAAGCTTATTATTTGGGATAAAATGATTTAGCAGTCACTAATATATTTTAGAAAGTGAAAATGGTTTCTTGCTACCATAGTAACTGCTATAAATTTTTTAGTCGAAAACTAGATAAGCTGAGTGCAGGTGGCTTATACCTATAATCTTAGATGCAGAGGAGTTTGAGATTGGAGGATTGCAGTTCAAAACCAGCTCATGCACAAAAGCTATATGACTCTTCATTGACCAGTAAAAAGTTGGGAGTGGAGCTATAATTCAAGTAGTAGAACACTAGCCTAGAGCAAAAAAGCTACAAGAGCATGAGGCCCTGAATTCAAGTACCAGGACAGACAGACAGATAGGGACAGCCTCCCACTCCCCCACTCCCCCCACCACAAATAAATAAATAATGAAACCTGAGATAATTTTTCATGAGATCTTTAGATTTATACTGGATAAGTATATCTTATCTGTGAAGGATAACATTAGAAACTATCAGAAAATTTTCAAACAAATCTTGCTTAGCATGATGATGATTTGTAGGAATATTTTTTATTTGAGGGAGATTTTTTTAGGAATTTCTTTTAGAATTTTATTTTATTGTAAAGATGCTGTACAGAGGGGTTACAGTTACATGAGTAAGGTAATAAGTACATTTCTTGTGGAACATTGTTATGCTCTCCTTTGTTTTTTTCCTACTATCCCTTCCCTCTTCCACATCCCCCACTGTTCTCCCACCATCAAAGTTGTAAAGTTCATTTTCAACATAATGTCTTGTGAGTATCATTGTTGCAATGGGTCATACTGTGTCCTTGTTTCAGCATTTTGTTATTCCCCTCTCCCCCAATTAGATAAATGTGCATACAAGATACAAAGTACCAAAATCAAATACAGGGACAACAGGGAATATACCATAGGGGGAAAAACATACAAAAGAAACAAAAAATCACTTAGTACATTAAAAATGACAACAACAAAGACAGACCTCTTGTGTTCCTATCTTGTGGTTCATTTTGTTAGCATCATCTTATATGGTCATATGTACAAAGCTTGGGAGCTTTTCTGCTCATCAGATAAGATTATCCTAGAAGTATACTAATTATTGCAAATAAGGGAAACCATGGGACCTGTATTTCTTTGGCTCTGATTTCACTTAAATATGCTTAGAACTCAAAAATTAAATCCTCCCAAAACAAATACTCAAAGAAACAACCACCCCATTAATAAGTGGGCTAAAGACTTAAAGAGAGATTTCTCTAAAGAGGAAATAAGAATTGCCAATAGATACATGAAGAAATGTTCAACTTCTCTGGCCATAAAAGAAATGCAAATCAAAATAGCATTTAGATTCCACCTCACCCAGTTAGAATGGCTACAATCAAGAACTCTAATAACAACAAATGCTGGAGGGGATGTGGCCAAAAGAGAACCCTACTGCACTGTTGATAGGAATGTCAATTTGTTCAACCACTTTGGAAAGCAGTATGGAGGTTCCTCAAAAGACAATACATAGAGCTCCCCTATGAACCACCAATCCCATTTCTAGCATTTAGTCAAATGGTCACAAACAAGGCCATGCTAAAGCTACCAGCACAGCTACATTTATTGCAGCATTATTCACCATAGCTAAGATAATGAACCAGCACAGATGCCCCTCAGTAGATGAATAGATCAAGAAAATGTGATATATATATATGAATGTGATATATATGAATATATATGAATATATATATGAATGTGATATATATATATATATATATATATATATATATATGAAGTCTATGCTTCCATCAGAAAGAATGACACTGTCCCATTTGTTAGGAAATGGAAGATTTTTTTTGTTCCTGTCTTGGGTGCTGTTTTTGAGTTTTTGTGCTCAAGGCTAGGTCTCTACAACTTGAGCTATAGCTTAAGTTCTTTTTTCTTTTTTGATAGTTTAGTGATGCTACGAATCTCACAGATTTTCCTCCAGGGCTGGCTTAGAACCTTGATCCTAAGATCTCAACTTGCTGAATAGCTAGAATTACAGGTGTGAGTCACAGACACTTGGCCGGAGGGAAAATATCTAAAGACTTGGGGAGGAATGTGGAGTTAGAAGACTTCAAAGATGAGGGACTCAGAAATTTTAAGGGCACAATTAGGGACTTTCTGATTGATACACTTGCTCTATCTTCCTTATGCAGGTACTCTATAAACTGTTCAAATCTTTCAATGAAATGCCATCTATCAAGCTGATGGATATCTTTGCTGCAATAGGAAAGTTCTTTTTAGTTGGAATAGGAGGAGTTTTCATTGGGGTCCTGTTTGGCATATGTGCTGCCTTTACCACCCGCTTTACCAAGACCATCCGCGTCATTGAACCCCTCTTTGTCTTCTTATATAGTTATCTCTCCTACTTAAGTGCTGAAATGTTCCATCTCTCAGGGATTGTGGCGTAAGTATCCAAACAAGATTTTAATTCAGACAATTTCTTTTAGGGGTTGGGTGTCATTTTCCCACCATAAATATAGGAAATAGTGTCTCCTAGATAAGAGATAAAAATTCTCCCTCTATGTTTTTCTAAGATTTCCTTTATCTCTAATAGAGTCTCCTGGTCATACTATTTCATGATCTAAATCTACAACTAAATTTGTAGACTGACTGTACAAGTTAAAGTGAAAGATTCCCAAATAAATTGACAACATGGATACCTTCTTATATAATAAAAATTCTGAGAATCTTGTGTCTTTGTAAAGTTTTATAATTCTAACAGATTAATTGGTCTGACCAAGTGTAGTTACTGTGGTAATTACATCATACAGTATACCATATATTAAAGTTTGCTATTACCTGTTCAAACATAGGCATTGTATTATTTTTTTAAATTTTATTTTATGTTATTTGTGAACATACTGTACAGAGGGGTTACAATTACATGGGCAGGATAATGCATACATTTCTTACCAAGCATTGCAGCCTCCTCCTTTGTTTATCCCTTCCCAGCCTCTCCCCTCCCAATCCCAATCCCAATCCCAATCCTTCCCCTCCCCACCCCCCACCCCCCCACCCCGCACCGACGTTGTAAAGCTCGTTTTGGACATGACAACTTGTACTTCTCATTGTTGCAATGAAATGCTCAACATCCCTAGCCATAAAACAAATGCAAATCAAAACAACATTGAGATACCACCTCACTCCAGTTAGAATGGCAAAAATCAAGAACTCTAACAACAACAGATGCTGGAGGGGATGTGGACAGAAGGGAACCTTACTTCATTGTTGGTGGGAATGTAAACTTGTTCAACCACTTTGGAAAGCAGTATGGAGGTTCCTCAAAAGACTTCACATAGAGCTCCCCTATGACCCAGCAATCCCACTTTTGGGCATTTACCCAAATGTTTACAAACAAGACCACACTAAAGCATTGTATTATTTTTAAGAAATTTGCAAAATTTAAGAATCGTATTGTTTATGCTAACTATACTGGATATGCTGCTTTTATCTGTCACTGGAAGAGTAATCTAAAAAGCAATAAATGCTTTGAATTAGGGTTTAGACGGGCCATCTCATTTTGTGTATTAGAATAAAAGGAAATATTATTTTCAGATACTGCAGCTTTCTGGAAGCTGAGAGGAAAATTTTTAAAAAATGCTCTAAATTTCAACGAACGAATGTGTTTAATGTATTCTAAGTTCTAAAAAGGCATGCCACAGTAGCTAGAATGAGTTCCTCTTAGATAAAATGTTGTAGGTTAAAAGCAAGGATTATATCCTGGGCCTGGGTTATTGTAACTTAAATTTACTAAGAAATGTAGTTTGAGCTTTAAATTATCTGGTTTTCACTGTCTGCATTATTTATTACTAGAAACAGACAAAAAGAGCTAAGGAATGTATGGAATTGAATATAACATTTTAATTTTAATTCTTCAAATCCAGGGCATTGTCCAAAGTTTTAAAAATGATGCATTTTCAATAATTTCCTTTTTTTTTGCACACCTGGACTTTCAAAAATCTTGATAATATGAAGATTGTTAGCAGGTGTGTTTTTAGTCCTGAGAGAATGTAAAATAGGGAAAACAATGTCAGTAACTCTTTTTGCTGCCTGCAAAAACCTCCTGAGGTTTAACTGTCTTAAATCTGTAGCAGCTTTTATTTTTGGTTAGGTTTACAAGTGTCCTTTGAGGCTATGTTCCAGTAATCTTTGTTCTTTTGCCTGCTAAACCTAATGAAGAAAGATCTTTCCTTACTTTTTTTTGGAGATGGTTTAAAAAGACCCAGTAAATGATTTAGATTTTATTTAGACCATCTTAGACTAAGGGGTTTAGGTGCATTTTTTGTTATTTAAAAGCTGCCTTAATATCCTTTTAAAAAATGTACACCTGGGGCTGGGAAGGTGGCTCAGTGGTAGAGTGCTTGCCTTGCAAGCCAGAGGCCCTGGGTTCGATTCTTCAGCACCACATAAGCAAAAAGAAAAAAGCCAGAAGTGGTACTGTGGCTCAAGTGGTAGAGTGCTAGTCTTGAGCTGAAGAGCTGAGGGACAGTGCCCAGGCCCAGAGTTCAGGCCCCACGATTGGACCCCCCCCCAAAAAAAAGAAAAAGAAAAAATGTACACCTGTATAAAAAGTGTTACCTAACGTGTACTTTGAATATAGTTGAAAAAAGAAGACACAAGAATGGTTTAAAAACATAGAGATACTCTTTCTAAGATATTGCATTAATATAAGAATCAATTAGACAGAACATCCTAGATTAAGAAATTGAGACCTGATATTGGTATCATGTAAATGACCAAAACTGATAGATAATTAAGGTTTTGAACATATAATTAAAATAATTCATGTAACAGTGAATTCATAGATGCTGAAAGTAAAGTAAATTATACTAGCTAAAATTTTTATCACTTTTTATGTTTCCCCAATGGAAACAGAAAACTTCTTTTCTAACTTCCTGAACTTAATTCCTTTTCATATTTTGAACTTCGATATCTAGTTTTATAGGCTTTGGGCTCAATCTGTAGCATTTTTCCTGAAGTAGTATCATTTTTTCCATGTGGTTGTAATAGAAGAAATAATATTTAAATATGAAAAATATTTTTTCAATCAAATAGCTATTTGTTGACTGATTTACTGTTTTAACCATGAATTAGATCTGTAATAGTAGTTAGAAAGTTACTTTAGAAAAGATTTCTCTTCCTTCTATTTTATTGAATTTTCCAATAACTTGAAAAACAAAGTAGATAACAACTGCATACATTTAAGGATTGATCACTTTTTTAGAAATGAGTTGTGTATGAATCTGTTTCTACCTAGAGGACTATTGGTTCTATCATCATTGATTTGTGTTCTGGGAGGGTGTTGGAAGCAACTGTTCTGTCTGAAAAGTAATTAAACTCCATTAGAAGAATTGTGATATTGAACTCTTTTCCCTCTTAAAACCAAGAAGTATCCATTGCTGATGATGGCTGATGTATATCACATTAACTATAGAACTTTGTTTTTTTTCAATAATGTATCTTTTCTGAAGCAAGCAAGTTCCCATCATTGATATTTCTAAGTAGAGTTTATTATATTAAATTATTTCCTACTTTGGGATTTTTGTTGTATTCTTCAGATTCAAATTTATTAACCAGATGAGTCTATTAAACTCTATAAAAACATAAATAGTATAAATCTGATGTCCTTAGCATTTAATGAGAAAATTAAAATTACTGAACCTACTAAAATTTAGGTTGTCCTTTCAAAACCACCTTTTAGTTCCATAGAACTTAAAATCTGAAGCCATACAAAGGATTAGTAGGTCGGGCATTTTTGCTTAAAAAAATCCACCCAGTCTCACCATTAGCTACTAAATAAAATGTATACATAAAATATATGCATAAAATACAATTTTATTATAATGAAAACTACTTTGGTGCATATCATATAAACATTTACATATACTTCAATTTAGAAATTTTAAATTTTTTATCATCTTTCTTTCTTTCTCTCTTTCTAGATAGACATATGCTTGACAAACATGAATTTGTTTCCTCAGATTTCAAATTGCTCTATATTTCAATCAGAAAACTGTTTGCTATTTTTCCATTATAGATAGGAGAACATTAGTTCATTAGTCATAGTTAGGTCAGACAGTTCCTACTGTCTAACCTTACATTTAAGACTGTCAGAAAATAGTAGGCACTGTTATGAAATATCAAGTTTAAATCTTCTTGGCAGATAAGAAAGAGAATAATAGCCATTCTTGTCTGGTATAATTTCTGTAAACAACCAATGTAGTGAACCCTTTATGGGCTCTGTAGATAACATTATATTGAAGTTGTAGTGTAGAAAGCTTCTGAACCAATGGATTTCTCATATTCCACTCTTATGACCATTCTTAGATTAAAAAATGATTTCTATGAAAACCTAATTTATAATAAGCTTATTTGTGGTTGTATCCAGGATTTGGAAAAGTTTTTATATTTGAATGAAAAATGAATTTCTAACTATCATTATAATTCTCAAAAAAGATTCTTTTTTTGTACCAATATCCCCCTCATCCAAAGGGAGGAAACATTTTAATTATCAAAAAGATCCGTATATAACATAAGGTTCACAAAGATGTATAGCTTCAAATAGTATATTTCTACTATCGGAAAATAAGCTATAATGTTATTTTTGTTCATTTGAAGTGAACTCCATTTTAAGAGTGCTTCAGCATAATCCTCTGGATTTATGATGAGTCTGAACTGTACTAATGAATAAAGTTTATAATTTATGTGTCTTACAGTATGACCATACTTTATCCAAAAAAAAAAGATAGCAATGAGCACAAAGTTGTTGCATACAATGCATTTTACAGTTGTATTATACTGCTGATGATCTTTCAGAACAGTGAGAATCTAGTAGCCATTCTCTTCTGTTAGCTCAAATGATAGAATGCTTTGTGTCTTAGGAATGCTTTCACTTTTGAAAGAGTTTATTTTCTATCTCACTGACATACAGATGCTTTTATCTGGCAACTGTGGTCTCTATTATCTGTATCTTCCACACAATTACTTTGTATTTACTCTCTAGCCTAATTCACACTATAAATATTGAACTTAAAATCTAATCACATCCTAGTGAAAAATAAATCAGAAATGATACCACATATTCCCCTGTTTAATTTTTGGCAGTTTAAGGGCTTGAATTCAGGGCCTGGGTGCTGTTCCTGAGCTCCTTTGCTCTGGGATAGTGCACTACCACTTTGAGCCAGAGCTCCACTTCCAGTTTTTGAGTGGTTAATTGGAGATAAGAGTTTCACCGGGACTTTTCTGCCTGGGCTGGTTTCGAACCATGATCCTTATATCGCAGCCTCCTGAATAGCTAAGATTATAGCTGTGAGCCACCAGAGTCGGGCACACATATTTCCCTTTAACAATAGATATTCCTAGCATGGGAACATTTCTTAAAGATATTAAATAGAAATGATCCTA